AAAGCCTCATTAAATATAAGCCTCATTATTAGATTGCGAGACAATTTTACGAGTTGTCATAATAAAACGCAGCGGCCACGTCGCATTGATGTTCCATGCCAATACTTTAACGATAGTCGTGCAAAGCCACAATTATTTACCCTAACATCACAAAACAGGCGTACGACACAATCAGTTACGTGACCACATCTAATTCACATCCAAAAATGGAGACAAACTTATTAAACATTCCATTGTATAATAATATCGTTAATAACAACCATAAACTACAAAAACAGTGAACAAAAACAGAAAAGTAATTTGCCCTAACCATCCTTCATTGGTGAAACAATAGTATTGAATCGATACAATATAATCGAAGGCACCAACGACCTGTCTCCCAGCGCGATTCAAGAGACCAACCCTTTGTCTCCCCCCATTTATAGAAGGTTGTATTCATCCACCGTGGAGGGGCGCCATCGTCCATTCAAACAGACAAGACAATCCCAATTCAGACGGGTATAAAAGCGAAAACAATGTCGCTAACATAGAAAGGAACAATCCGGCTCCGAGGACCAGCGGTAGTCTCCCTCGCACGCGGGTAAATGTTGCTTAGAGAGAAAGAGATAGGAACAACAATGGCGGAAAGCGCCGCCTAATGACGAATTTGCGCTTTTCATTCCACAACAGAAGTTTTTCCCGGTTCCTCATTATTATGTCGATACTTTAGGGTGGGTTCGTATCTTTTGTTGCCGCGGATGATAGGATCGTGTGCTTAGTAACGACAATGGTATAAAAGACTAATGTTCTATTAAAATTACGTTGACGGTTTTCCCGATTGTTCGAGAAAAATCCGCTTTATTTTCCTTTGGTGACAAAATGTTACGCTGTAGCCCATAAGTAGGTAGTACAATTTGGTTGTGAGTATCATGTTTGGAAAATTCATCTTAAGAACAGTCAAAATACGGACGGTTCGTTACTTCATTATGATGTCGGAGCAAGATGAAAAAAAGTACAAAATCAAATGAGGAATAAAATAATATCACCTGTATTTATTAAACGCTCAATGCGACCATTATTACATAAAAATACAAACACCTCTATATTTTTTACAACTCACGTAATCGTAACATTGTCGCAAGATTATCGTAAATAAACGCGGTTAAAATGAATCATTCATGCAGTTTTACATCAAAGCGATCGATCTAAATATAAATTAAATTGGCAAAGGTCGATTAACTGGATTTCAGACAAAGCGTTGAGAACAATGATTGATACTGTTCGATTGTGACCGGGCATTGCAACTATTGTCAGCGCTCGAATCGAATAGGTTTTCACAAGTTCTATAGTTAGTTGGAAAAGTTCGTCTGGTCCAGTGGGCGTTGGTAATTACGCGACCTATATATTATGTAATTTAATTATTTAATCAAGTATTTGCTTGTGAATGATTCGAGGTTATTTGGTTGTATGTATATAAAGTATTAAGAGAGAATTTGTGGATTAATATTACTGTTTCTTTTTATAATTTCTTATTTAGAGACTTATTTATTTACATTTTTACATTGATATTTCTTATAAAATGCAACGCAAGTGTTTGAGATATTTTTGGTCCGTTTACGACTACAGAAACCCGATGCTTGGAAGAAGCCAACTTATTGAAAGAAATTTTTTATGCTACTTTAGCATAAAACATTTATTAATATCCGAGAATTATACAATTTTGTATTCTTACACGAACCTGATAAAGCCATTATAATGGACAATACATTAATACTTATTAACTTAGTATTATTAAATTTTTCATACAAAAAAGAACAAGTCCAACAATGAAACGAATAAAAAAATAACCTTAACATTATTTTAAAACAAATAACACGCGACATATTTCCCGTGTAACAGTGTTTTTTAACACAAAGCCAGACACGACTTATTTATACAATTGCCTACCATTTTAAACGCAGCACATTCAATATTAGCTAATTACGATTGCATTATTCATTTGCATATAACAAAAGAAAAACAAACTTTTCAACACAGTAGAACAAATACTTTTGTCCACAACGGCTTTCCAACAGCCCACTGTGCACGGCTGTCACTATAATTTTGTGCACACAAGTGTCACTGTATCTATACAAACGCAACACTGTGCACTTTGTGTTCTTGAGCTGTGGACTCGAAGATTTTTTTCTTGAATATTGTTTTGAAGACAATGCAAATTATAATGTTAATAGCTACTGCATGGTTTTTGTTGTTGTTAGCTGTCGTGAAAGTTTTTTAAAGAGGTTTTAAGTGTTTTTCTTTTTTTTGGTCTGTTTGCAAATATCTTGATTTTAGAAAAAGGTTTTCTTGCATAACGTTGTCATTGAGAGAAGCTTTGTGATCTTTAGGCAACATAAGCTTTCAAACATTTCTGACTTTTAAGATTTATTTTTAGTTATCGAATGCGAAGTAACCTATTCCTAATGTTTGTCTTAAATGTCCAGAGTACTAATATTTAACCAATTAGCCTAGTAAAATAAATGGCGTAAAATTTGTGTAAGTACCTAAATAAAGCGCTTAAAGAGATAATAAAGTCGATGATGTAATTTTATATTTACATCAAATTACACATGTACACGTGTATATAATAAGTTACTTAATATTATAATGAACAAGTAATTAAAACACGGCCCCATATGAAAATTATAAAAATAAGTTCGGTAAAATTTACACCCACAAGTCTCCATATTACAATACAAAATCGACATTCTTGGTACACAAATCGGCTCCCCACATTTTTCGCTCTGGCAACCCTACATGTATTTATTTATTCTTAATTAACGGCAACACTAACAATCGTAGCAACAATACGCACGTGTCGATACTACTAAAGTGTTGCCACTACACAATAATTATTTCCTACAGCGCCCGTTCGTTACGGGAAAACAAAGGCATGGGATGGCAACACTGAACAATGATTGTCCGGTATTCAGTTGTGGAATTAGGTATAAATGGTTATTAGTTATTTGTTTCTAATTGGTAGAGATATATTACAAATGAGTTTTATTAAAAACAACAGTCTATTTGTCATATTCTTAGAGACGTGCAAAATATTTTGATGGGTTTTCCTAGAAATGGGTTTCAGCAAAACACTTTGGAAATGTTTCTAGGAACACTCAAATTTCTCTCATTTTTACTTTCACTTAAGCAGTGAAATTGTCATTTTATCGTGTAACAGATCATATTGATCGATTTCCTTTTTCAACATATTTTTCTATTGAAATAAATATGATTGTGTTGTGTTGGTTCCCTTTGTAGTGACGACAAAATACAAGCTTTTCAACTATCAAAGCGAAGGCTCTTATGGAATATAATATCTAGGTTATTGGCAGGATAACTAGTATTGTATACCTGTCTTTTAGAGGCAATACAACTTCCAACGAAGAAAGAAAATAAACAAGTATTGATCGTCAAAACATTGTTTAATATTTCAAAGTCTGCCTACCAACAGCACCATGAAATTTAGGACATCAAACACCTAACATTAGACAGGTCATATATAGCGGCTTTGTCAGTAACAATCATACGAACAAACATAACAAAAAACAAAGCATTCACCAAACACACATGGTAGGTACAATACTCTCGGTAACAAAGAAGTTTCCTCTCTACCTAGTATTAAAGAGGCTATTGTGTTCAGAATCGGACGAAAATGCTCTTCATTACTCTGAAAGCTTGTGTGCCATGCGACAATGGTGAAACGGGGAGGAATGGGCGGTGGGGGGCAGGGTAGCGAGGAGTTGGGGGCCTTTTACAAAGACGCATGGCGAAGGAGCACCCACCACCCTTTCGTCCGTAAAATTGAAATGGTAAGAAACGTTATTTAGGTCATGATTTTATTAAATGTTAATAGATTTTTTTTTCGGAGGGGTGTCGCCTTTGGATTTGGTTTGATAGTTTTATTTTTGTGGGGGATTAAACTTGTTGTATCGAACGAATAGATATTGAGAGACTTATAGTAATTTACAAG